CTAATCAATTCATCTACCTTCAACAGTGATGGGTGCAACTCATTCTTAAACAAATAACCATTCACATCACTGAAAGAAGAACCTGGTCTCTAATACTAATCTCACTCGTTTTCTGTGATTCAACAAATCAGCTAGGACAGTTACCTTGTATGGCTCACACAGCCCAATTATCAGTTGTTAGGACTAGCTGTCACGCCTTGAGCAGAAGCAGTCATTACTGGCCTCTGCCATAAAACAAAAGCATCATTAGCCACTTCCTCCCTCAAGGTGCACCTGCCTCATTTATTCCTTTGATAGTAATTATTGAAACTATCAGCCTATTTATAGCTCTTCACATACTCATACATTTTATTGGCAGAGCCTCTTTAGTCTTGACATGCATCAGTTCTGCAACAGCTATAATCAGATTTATTCTAATTCTAGCTGTTCTTTAATTCACTGTAACCCAATCCAAGTGCCCATATTTCCACTCTCATGGTTAATGACCCACCAAACTCAGGCTATCATACAGTTAACCCCAGCCCCGACCATAAACAAAGGCATTGTCAGAGCTATTGCTTTAAGATTTTACTTATTTACTTACTTACTTACTTACTCATTTGAGAGGTAGAGTTACCAATGGAGAGAGGGAGGGACAGAGAGAAAGGTCTTCCCTCGGCTGGTCCACTCCTAAATGGCAATAGCCAGAACTCAGCCAATTCGAAACCAAGAGCTTCTTCTGGGTCTCCCACATGGGTGCAAGGGCCCAAGTGCTTAGACCATCTTCCACTGCTTTCCCAGGCCAGAAGCAAAGAGCTGGATTGGAAGTGGAGCAGCCAGGACATGAACTAGTACCCATATGTGATGCCAGCATTGCAGGTGGAGGCTTAGCCTGCTACACCACAAAACCCCTTGTCAGCTCTGTTTCTAACATACAGCTAATGATAGGTTTCCAGTTTAATTCTTTTACTCTATCATTCCTGGCCTAGGAACTAATACCAAGGATGATGATATAGTCTGAGAGCGTACAACTAGGGGACAGGATCATGATATGAAATGATCTTTTTCATTCTATCAGGAGTTTTTTTTCCTCTGCTGGATTCTTCTATCCATTCCATCCCTCATGGCTAGTCCTAAAGCAAAGGGGCTGCTACCTACCAACAGGCATCTGAGCCCTAAAGCTACTAGAATTGTGTCTAATAATCAGAATTATTAGTCTTGGGAGTATCAATTACCCAAGTTCACCATAGTTTCATAGAAGAAACCAAAAATATTATACAAATTCCACTAATCAATCAAACTTGGAGCTGGTTTTACAAGTCTATAAACTTCAGAATATTTGAACATATCCTTCACCATCTCTAAGGCTGTGGATAGTTCAACACTCTTCACAGCCACAGGATTGCACAGCCTATTTGTAATCATAAATCTTACTTTCTCACCTCATAACAATTAAAATTTCACTTGATATCAAACCATCATTTTGGCATTGAAACTGATGCCTGACATAATTTGTGGACATAGTCTGATTATTCTTATGCATCTCTTTTAAAAAAAAAGATTTATGTATTTATTTGAAAGTCAGAGTTACAGAGAGAGTGAGAGAGAGAGAGAGAGAGAGAGAGAGAGAGAGAGGTCTTCCATCCACTGGTTCACTCCCCAATTGGCTGCAATGGCTAGAGCTGCGCCAATCCAAAGCCAGGAGCCAGAACCTTCTTCCAGGTCTCCCATGTGGGTGCATGGGCCCAACAACTTGTGCTGTCTTCCACTGCCTTCCCAGGCCACAGCAGAGAGGCTGGATCAGAAGTGGAGCAGCCAGAACTTGAACCAGCGCCCATATGGGAATCCGGCACTGCAGGCAGTGGCTTTACCCGCTATGCCACAGCTCCGGCCCTGACACATCTCCCTTCACTTATGAGGATCATATTCTTTTAATGTTAACTACTGCTACTGGCTTCCAATGTATTATCTTCAGTTTTAACCTGGAAAAGAATAATCAACCTTACTCTCTCCCTGACAATCAATATATCTTTAGTGCTATTTCTTGGAACCACCGTAATCTGGTTGCTGTAATTAAATATCTACATAGAAAAATAAAGTCCATACAATATGTAGATTTGATCCTATAGCATCAACCCAACTACTACCCTCCATAAATTCTCTTTTAGCCATTACAGCCTTTGTATTCAGCTTAGATATTACCATCTTACTTCTCCTGTCATGAGTACCCAAATAAAAAACCCAACACTTACACTTACCATAGCACTAATTATAATTTCCATTTTAGCCCTATGTCTAGCCTATGAATGAATTCAAAAAGGACTAGAATGAGTATAATCATTGAAATTTCAATCCATTAGGTTAAGGTATTCTATTATCACCAATATTCCTTTAAATCTGTATAAATATTTTAGCATATATTGCATCCTTACTAGGAATATTATCAGTATACTGATATATGGTCACTTCTGTGTTTTATAAGGCACAATATTATATGCATTCACTTTAGGAATCCTTGTAATCCTGAATGCTCATTTTATCATATCATGTATAATATTCATTGCCTACTAGTATTTGTAGCCTATGAAGCCACTGTGGGCCAAACACAGTTAATAGCATCCAACACTTACGGTCAGATAATGTACAAACTTAACCCTTCTCCTATGAATTATGTAACTTACAATTACACTTATTCCCATAACAATGTACTCAAAAACATCATACTCTGAATCAACATAAACACAGAGCTTATACACTACCTCATAATCCTATTTATTATAAATAAACCTATTATAAAATAAGTAGTTTCTCACCAGCTTCTTCTCTGACCCTCCTCTTGATACCACCTCACAGCTTCCCTTAATAATCCTAGTGAGTATCCCCTTTCTAAAGGACCACTTCCATGAAAGAAAGCTATATTTAAATATTAATCTATAAGTATTCTTAATTATGACATTCACAGGCACAGAAGTAATTTTGTTCTAGATACTTTTCATGAAAAGTAATTTCAACCCAAGTAACTATTACCCAATGAGGAAACTAAATAGCATTTAAATGGAAACCATGCATAATAACTTTGATAGTAAAAAGCAAAAATGTCCCTGTATGGTCTTCACCTGTGATTACCAGAAGTCCATGTAGAGGCCACTATTGCCAGATCAATATTCCTTGCAGTCACACTGTTAAAACTAGGAGGCTACAGCATAGCATGAGTCCCTACAATCTGAAATCCCTTAAACAGAGCAGAGAGCCTTCTCACTGCCCAGAGGAGCCCTGTGAGGAAACCCCTAACCAGCGCCATCTCGCTCTGTCAAACACATCTAGCATCACTAACCACTTTTTCATTAGTGAGCCACATTAACACTGGTGATTGTGACTGTCCTTATTCAAACATCACGAAGATTTACAGGAGCTACAGCTCTAACACTGGCCCATGGCCTAACATCAGCAATATTATTTTGTCTTGCAAACTCTATTCACAGGCAAACTTCACGATTTGCCCAAGGACTACAAAACAGTTTCACCTCTAGCAGCAGCATGATGAACCTGGCAAACCTAACTAACTCGGCCTTAGCGCCAATCATTAATTTAATCAGGTGGCTGTTCACAAAAAAGACATCATTCTCACGGTCCAAACCTACGACCATCCTAACAGAGTCTAACCTGTGAATTAACACTATACACTGCATCTGCTTACTAATCACAACACAACAAGGAAAACTTCCATATCATATCAATAACATCCCTCTTTCATTCACACGAGGAAATCACTCATATCCATCACCTTCTTCCCTATCACTCAGTTCTAAGATCATTTCACGAAACACGCATTGTAAAGAGACAACGTTAGCTTATGAATGTAAAAACAGAAACTTCAGTCTCCTTATTCACTGAGGAAGTATGCAAAAACGGCTAACATGCTCAGACACACAGTAATATGGCTTTCTTAAGCTATAAAGGGTAGAAATAACCCATTGGTTTTAGGAACCAACAAACTATTGCAGCTCCAAATAAAAGTAATCTATTTTCTCCCTCTACAACAATGTCACTACTTTCACTTCACCAGTTATAACAACTGTCCCATATTTATAAGGAGATTGGTGCTTTAAACCTCTAATGCGCCTTATTTATTTATTTAATTTTACTTGAGAAACAGAGCCACACTTCGCATCTGCTGGCTCACTACCCACGTGTGTGGAGCCAAAAATGCCATCAGGGTCTACCACGTGGGCAGCAGCCGCTCAATGACACGATCCATCCGTCACTGCTGTTTCCCAAGCTACGCATTAGTGGGCAGAGTCGGAAGCCAGAGCCGGGTCGCAAACTCGGGTACTGCAATATGAGACATGGACCTCGGAACCAGCATCGGAACCTCTCGTCTAAACACCTGACCTGCACTGCGGGTAACTTACGATGCACCTTGCGTGATGTACATTTAAAAACTCATGGTATACACAGGGTTCCATACGATCTGCGTCCTCAGGGGTCGCTTGGGGGTCCTGGAACGTGCCCTCCGCAGAGAGGGGAGGGCGGCTGGGATTTGTTACCCTGAAGTGAAAACGAGTCCGAAGTAGAGCGGTGAACCCCGGACACAACACCAGACACACCCGAAGGAGAGGATTCCCAGCACGGGGCGGGCATCGTGACCCCCACCCCACCCCGCCCAGCGGGGGTCCCCCACCATCCGCCCCGGAGGCGCCTCCTCCCGACCCCTCAGTGTCCGCGCCCCGCGGGCACCGCCGGGACCCCGGGCCACGAGGGGCCGCGCGGCCGCGCCGCTCCCTCCTCAGAGGCCGAGGCCGCCGGGCGGCGTCTCCGCAGGAGCCCTGCCCGGCCGGGGCTGACCGAGAGGAGCCACGCGGACGCCGGGTCCTCGCTCTCCCTTCCCGGCTCCCGCTCCGGGACGGGGTCAGGGCCGACGGCGCCGCTCCGGCCGCGGACACCGGGACTCGCCAGGCCTGAGGAGCCGGCGCCGCGCGGACGCGGGAAAGCTCTCGGCCCGGCCGAACCCGCGCCCTCACCTGGCGCACGGCCGCGGGCCCGCCCTTCCCGCCGGCGTCCGCCGCTGCCGTCCTGTCCAGGGATCCAGGGATCGGGGCTGGAGCCCCGCACGGCCGTTAGGTGACCGCGCAACCCCTGGCCGAAGGACAGAAAAGCCGGGCCTCGCGGAGAAAATGGCGAGGGGGAAGCTCAGCGGCCTATTTATAGCCTCGGTGTTAAGGTGGCGGGTCCCGGAGACTCATTCTGATTGGATGATGCGGAAGGGCACCAACCAATCAAAAAGCGAAGACAGGGCCGGCGGCGAGGTTTAGCAGGTTAGGCCGTCGCCTGCGATGCCAGCATCCCTTACGGGAACCACTTGTGTCCCTGCAAGTGGGAGACCCAGATGAAGCTCCTGGCGCCTGGTCCAGCCCTAGGCCATGGCAGCCATTTGGGGAGTGAACCCGCGTATGGAAGCTCTCTCTCTCTTCCCCTCTCCCCCACCCCTCCTGCGCCTTCAAATAAAACATAAATTTTAAAAACAATTGAAAAAATTTGAAAAGAATCTGCTCATGTGAGCATTTGGCCTAGTGGTTAAAATGACGTCTGGAGGCCGCCGCTGTAGCAAAGTGGGTAAAGCTGCTGCTTGCGGTGCCTGCATCCCATATAGGCGCTGGTTCAGGTCCCGGCTGCTGCACTTCCGATCCTGCTCTCTGCTACGGCCTGGGAAAGCAGCAGAAGATGGCTCAAGTGCTTGGGCCCCTGCACCCACGTAGGAGACCCAGAAGAAGCTCCTGGCTCCTGGCTTCAGATTGGTGACGCTCCGGTCATTGTGGTCATCTGAGGCGTGAACCAGCAAATGGAAAGATATCCACTGCCTGCCTCTGCCTCCCTGTAACTGCCTTCAAATAAATAAATAAATAAATCTTAAAAAAAATAGTTAGTGAACTACATTCAAAGATAAGGGAGCAATTGGTATTTAAAAAAAAAAAATGACATCTGCATCCCACATTGCAGTGCGTGGGTTCAGGTCCTGCCTCTGGCTCTTGTTCTAGATTCATGCCGGTGCAGGGAGGCATCAGACGATGGCTGAAAGAATTGTGTTCCTATCATTCATGAAGGAGACCCGGATTGGGTTCCTAGCTCTTGGCATCAGCCCAGGCAGGCCCCAGCTGTTGTGGGTATTTGTGGAGTGAACCAGTATATGACTGCTATCTTTCTCGCTCTCTCACTCTCTCTCTCGCTCTCTCTCTGCCTCTCAACTAAATATATATAATAAATTCTTTAACTAAAAAATTTCTTGAAATTCAAGTTGCTGGGTCAGTGATACAGCAGATCGGAGTCAAGGCTGAGATGTTCATTTGGGAACAGACTCTAAAGAGGGAGAACTGGAGCATGTCTGGCCCAGGAACCCAGAGAAGCCAGTTCGGGCAGGAGGGCGTGGTCAGACAGGAAGGAGGTGGTGGAGGTGAGGCGGCTGACTGACCTAGGAGACTGTGGGGTGTGCCCACACACAGAGGCCGCTGGCACCCGACGCAAGGTCAGAGGTGATGGGGACTCCCCTGGCGGGGCCAGTGGGTGGAGTGGAGGAGGTGCTGAGAACCGACCACCAATCAGACGCAGCGCTGGGAAGGAGCATGCAGAGTGGAGGGTGCACCTGGGGGTGAGTGGGTTTCTCTTCCTCGTCAGCCACCCAGATATTGGTGCAGGGGACCACAGGGGGCCGTGGGGGCTTTCAAGCAATGCAAAGCAGCTCACTTGTACCTCTGCCCCTCCGCTACCCCTCACTAGAGGGAAGCAGGCACAGGTGTCAGCCTCAAGGGCTCTGGGGTTGCTCTGAGGGGTGGGGTTGTAGATAAGGTGTAGGATACTGGAGACCAGGACTGACCCCGTGTGAGGGGGCACTGATGACACAGGGGAGGAAGGGCAGGCAGCTAAGCTCCCATCTGCTGGATCAATCCTCAGATGCCTGCAAGAGCAAGTACTGAGCTGTGCTGAAGCTGCGTCGCCCGTGTGGATGCCAGGAACCCAATGACTTGAGTCAACACTGCTGCCTCCCAGAGCCTGTATCAGCAGGAATCTGGAGTCAGGAGCCAGAGCTGGGTATGGAACCCAAGCAGTACAACATGGGAGCAGGCATTTTAACCAGGGTGGGGTTCTTTTTTTTTTTTTTTTTGAAAGATTTATTTATGGGGCTGGTGCTGTGGGACAGTGGGTTAACTCCCTGCCCTGAAGCGCTGGCATCACATATGGGCTCCGGTTCAAGACCCGGTTGCTCCACTACTGATCCAGCTCTCTGCTATGGCCTGGGAAACAGAAGATGGCCCAAGTCCTTGGGGCCTTGCACCCACGTGGGAAACCTGGAAGAAGCTCTTGGCCCCTGGCTTCAGATTGGCGCAGTTCTGGCCATTGTGGCCAATTAGGGAGTGAACCATCAGATGGAAGACCTCTCTCTGTCTCTCTCTCTCTCCCCCTCTGTCTCTGCCTCTCCTCTCTCTATGTAACTATGACTTTCAAATAAATAAATCTTTAAAAAATAACAATCTCACTAGATTGTCTAAAATTTTTTTGACAGGCAGAGTGGACAGTGAGAGAGAGAGACAGAGAGAAAGGTCTTCCTTTGCCGTTGGTTCACCCTCCAATGCCCGCCGTGGCCGGTGCGCTGCGGCCGGCACACCGCGCTGATCCAAAAGCAGGAGCCAGGTGCTTATCCTGGTCTCCCATGTGGGTGCAGGGCCCAAGTACTTGGGCCATCCTCCACTGTACTCCCTGGCCACAGCAGAGAGCTGGCCTGGAAGAGGGGCAACCAGGACAGAATCCGGCGCCCCGACCGGGACTAGAACCTGGTGTGCCGGCGCCGCAAGGCGGAGGATTAGCCTAGTGAGCCACGGCGCCTGCCTAAAATTTTTTTAAAAAAGAAAGATTTATTTATTATTTATTTCAAAGTCAGAGTTACAGAGAGAGAGAGAGAGAGAGAGGTCTTCGATCCACTGGTTCACTCCCCAATTGGCTGCAACAGCTGGAGCTGCGCTGATCCAAAGCCAAGAGCCAAGAGCTTCCTCCAGGTCTCCCACAAGGATGCAGGGGCCCAAAGGCTTGGACCCATCTTCTGTTTTCCCAGGCCATAGCAGAGAGCAAGATAAGAAGTAGATCAGCCAGGACTCGAACCAGCACCCATATGGGATGCTGGCACTGCAAGCAAATGCTTACCTGCTACACCACAGCGCTGGACCCTCCCAATTAACTTTATACCTTTATACTTCGGGAAAAAACATCCACAAAATAATTTCTATTTTTCCGTCTTGGGAAATTAAAACTCTGCCTTGATAATTTTGTTTTCTAGCAACTTCTTTTATTTGTCCAAGGGATAATTTCATTCTTTGGAAAGTATTAAGCCAACTAAATTAATGTTGCCATTGAGGCTCAAGGCCAAAAAGGAATGAGTTTCTCCTAGTATCAACTATTTTTTAAAGATTTATTTTATTTATTTAAAAGGCAGAGTTAGATAAAGAGAGAGAGAGAGAGGAGGGAGAGAGAGAGAAAGAGAGATCTTCCATCTGTTGGTTCACTCCCAGGTAGCCGCAGTGGCCGGAGCTGAGCTGATCTGAAGCCAGGAGCCAAGAAGTTTTTCCAGGTCTCCCATGTGGGTGCAGGGGCCCAAGGACTAGGGCCATTCACCACTGCTTTTCCAGGCACATAGCAGAGAGCTAGATCAAAAGTGGAGCAGCTGGGACTCAAACCGGCACCCATATGGGATGCCAACACTGCAGGATGCAGCTTTAACCAACTGTGCCACAACACCGGCCCCTCTAGTATCAATTATATTAAAGACAATTGAAACGTAAAAGGAAAATAGAAAACGGTCGCCATCCACTACTGGCTGTCTTGGCTAGCATGGAACAAATTGTAGGAAAATACTGATACTTTCTAAACAGGTAACTTTTGTACTAACATATCCCTCAATTCCCCAAATTCTTACACGTTGCTTTTAAGGAGTAAAAAAAAAAAATGAGTCTATCTAAATCTGAAAGTACTGGGGCCAGTGTTTGGCACAGTGGGTTAAGCTAATGCTTGCAAAAACTATACCCCATATTGGAGCACCGGTTCAAGTCCTGGCTGCTCTGCTTCCAATCCTGCTTCCTGCTAATGTGCCTGAGAATGCAGTAGAGAATGGCCAAAGCCCTTGGGCCCCTGCTACTCACGTGGGAATGAACCAGTGGATGAAAGAGTCTCTCTCTTTCTCTCTCTCTTTCTGTCTCCCTCTCTGTTACTCTACCCTCTCTGTCACTCTGCCTTTCAAATACATATTTTTTAAAAAAGCTTTATTGTAAACACTCTCATCAAAGACTTCACACATCACCCAAATGAAACTGCTTCTTTTCACCCACAAAATGGAGAAACCATGAAGTAATGGGGACTGATAACAGATCTATCATGGAAAAGAAGACACACAGAGAACAGCATAAAAATGTCCTTTCTCCCGGTAGGCACTAGAAGTCGTTGCCCTAAGTCGACAAGTGCCTTATAGACCTTAGTGCCGTAGAACTTGGAACTATTTTAGTTGACTCAGATGTGTGATCTGTGAGGCTTTGGCAGATCTGAGTGAGGAGGACAGGAAAGAAGAGTGTTGAGTGCATGTGAGGAGCCCTCGGTGCAAAACACTCGTGCAGCTTGGTGTGCACTTGTTCAGAGCAGCAGGTGTGTGTAGTGTGAGCCCTGTGAATGCACGCGGGGCTCCTGGGATGTCCAGGACTGGGGGCGGGGGCCACATTCTGGAAAACTAACCTGCACTCCACAAGTTGAGCTTTTATCTTAGAGATAGTCACATCTCTGTAGACACTGAAATAACACAATCTGCTAAATAGCCAACTCAGGTAACTCGCTTCTTGATGATGTGATTAATCTTATTTGCATAATTAAATAGTTTTTTAAGGGAATTAAGTTGACAGGAGCCCAAGTACTTGGACAATCTTCCATTGCTTCCTAAACACATTAGCAGAGAGCTGGATCATAAGTGGAATAGGAGGTCTGTGCTGTGGTGCAGCGGGTTAAAGCCCTAGCCTGCAGTGCCAGCATCCCATATGGGTGTCAGTCAAATCCCAGCTGCTCCACTTCTGATCCAGCTGTCTACTATGGCCTGGGAAAGCAGTAGAAGATGGCCCAAGTTCTTGGGCCCCTGTATCAGTGTTGGAGACCTGGAAGAAGCTC